TGACATATAATACAACTATACCACTATGAACAATAGAAAAGAATACCACAATAGCACAGAGATAACTAAATAACTAAAGATTAATAAAGCTTAATGGTAATACTAATAAATATGGAGGGAATGGGGAAGAGCAAAATAAAAGAAGTAAAACTTGAAAAATAAAAAAAGGAAAGTTGAGGAAGAGAGAAAATTGAGCTAAAACATACTATAAAGTACTTCAAAAATTAATAAAATTAGATACAAGTAACAGAAAAGAACAAACAAGATAGAGGGAAAAAAAAAACTCAGCAAAATAAAGAAGAAAACCCCTCAAACTTCTACAGAAGCAATGAAGTAGGAGAGAAACGAGTGAAAGAAAATCCCTCCGTGTGTTTGAAGGAGTGGTTTCCTCCCAGGCCCGCAGTCTGGAGATGCACCAGACGTGGGAGAGGCCCGGAGTCGGCTTCACACCCTCGTCTGTGGGAGTGAGCGCTGAGTCCTGCCCCGCCTTCCTGTTGGATGTGTGGTTGGTCAGCGGCGTCCACCCTAGGGCTGTATTTCCTGTCACCCCTCCCAGTCTCCATGTCCCGGGGAGAAACACCGTAAGTCACAGCTTTTCCACCAACCCTGTGCCTGTCGCTCTGTGAGGTCCCTTCTCCTCCTGCTCCAGCGTCCCCTCTGCCTCTATACCGCAGGCTGTGGCAACCATCGAAATCAGGGCGCACCCCTGACCATGTTGGCAGGTGGGAAAAGCCAACATTTCCGAGCTCTGTGCTGGATGTAGGCAGCAGGGCGGGTGGTCAAGCAGTCTGCTGGACTTGTTGCCAGCACTTTGAGACCCAGTTCCCTCTGAAAACCACACACACCTGGCCTGGCTTCTAACCAGAGAGGAGGGGACCCTCATGTCCTTCTCAGCCTGAGTTTAAACTCCTCTATGGGGTGTGTAGCCCAGCAGTGGCAAACCTACAGTCCGTATGCTGCAGTGGGCTGTTGGTGTGATGGAACGCTGTGAAGGGTCCGCCATCACTGGCCTAGCCAGTGCCCTCTTCACGACTCCCTCGCAGCCGTCTCCCACCTCGTGGCTGTGGTAGGGCGACTCCAGAAACCCTGAGGTGTGATTGTCATTTTTATGCAATGAGCCTCTTCCCCCGATGGTTCCCAATTAAATCTCCTCAGGTATGGTGGGTGCTGCATTGGACTCCTCAACTCTAGTCGGCTATGCAGAAGGAGTTACTCCGAGAGTCAAACCTCACACTGTTTTGCAGTTTATAATAACCGCAGGCTTTTCTTGGGGCTCGTACTGCCTGCCCAGTCCACTGTTTCTCTTTGGGGCTGCCCACCCTCTCTGGGCTGGCCTTGTGTCAGCAGACAGGTCCTCTGCCCAGGAGGAGCCAGCTTGATTGTTGCCCTCGGTTACTCAAACTTCGCTGCTCTTTCCAGTTTTCCAGACATGTTTCTCTTTGGGGCTGCCCACCCTCTCTGGGCTGGCCTTGTGTCAGCAGACAGGTCCCCTGCCCAGGAGCCAGCTTGATTGTTGCCCTCGGTTACTCAAACTTCGCTGCTCTTTCCAGTTTTCCAGACAGCTTGCTCCTGATGCCTTGAGATCCACTTCTTTTTTTCTTCACCCATTTGTTTTTCCAGGTGTCCTGATTCCAGGCCCTGGAGAGGCTCAGTTGTGCTGTCAGCCTTTACTCCACCACTTGAATCTTCTCAAAGTCAGCCTTAGCGACTTTGTTACATTTCGGTGGCCACGTGGTCTATGCTTCCCCACGTCCCATGCCCAGGAGAGGCCAGCCCAATGTTCAAGAGGCTTTGGAAGCTAATGGTTCCAGGCCAACACCCTAACTTGATGCTTTGAATGTGTGGCCTTAGGCATTTGGGCAGGTGAAGTATATTCTTTGAGCCCTGTTTCTTATCTGACAAATGGAGACAAAAAAAACAGACAGAAGATGGCAAACAAAAGATAAAACCATGCATCATCATCCATGGCTAGTCGAGCTAAATGATATGACTATAAAATGCCAAGCCCTGGGTTTGGCACCACATAAGCAGGCCCACGGTCTGTTCTGCTGCTTTCTGTTATTATTTGCTTATATGCTTTAAATTCAGAAATATGTGTCATCTCACCCAAGTTGCCGCTGCAGAGAGAAACTAATGTTTCATTCTCAGTGCGGAATTTTGAGAAGTAGGTTTGACGGCCGTCACCGGAATGGTGTCCTTTGCCCTTCACTACCAAAACGACCAACCAGATGCAGACCTGACAGTGCTTCTGCTGCCCGAGACCCTCACCAGCAAACCCAGGGCTGTTTCCCTCCTGTGCTGCTCCTCGAGGGGTCCCGGAGCGATCTCCGTGGCTGGCACCATTCCTCATCCATTATCACACGATGCCAGCGTGTTCTTGTGGATGGCGGGTGGACTTTCAGTTTTTGTGCATGCAGGTCTTCTTTTACTCACTGACGTGTTTAACTCCCAGTGACATACGAAATGTGATTTAGTAATAGGTGTCCTCTCGAGTGTATTAACCCAGTCGTCAGTGCATCGATGTCGGAGTGTGGTCTGGAGGTGGGCCTGGTCAGAAGAGACAGGGCACTGGGGCTGTGACCTGGGCAGCTCCTCCATTCTGTGTCAGCTTCCGGGCCACCAGACACGAGCAGCTCTCCTCTGTTCTCCACTCCTCCGCCACACCGTTTCTGCACTGGAGACAGGAACCACGGACTGAGACTCCTGCAACTGTGGTCCAAACAGTCTGTGCTCCTTTAAGTGTAGGGATTGTGTCTCAGTGATAGCTAAGTGCTAAAACAGGGCAAAGTTCGGGTTGGGTGAGCATGGAGTGAGCCAAAGCAGCACACGCGTGCCCTCGGTGGGGTCGCAGAAGCTGTGACAGTCCAGAGGAATAGACAAGTGGCCCCAGCAATGCCAGTTCTGATACCAACCCCCGAGGAGCCAGCCCTAAAATTACTGCTCTCACAGTGCTTCTTTATCCTATCCATCCACACACCCCTGCTCATTGTCCAGGGACTGAAGGTTTAAAAAGAAGAACAAAGAAAAAATGTGCAATTCCCACTAGCTTGTAAGGGCGGAGACCCTCGCACCAAAACAGGGCATGTGTTTGTACTTGACTTTTAGGCCTTGGGCAGAAAGATAGGGCTCGTTCCCAGCATGCATTTAGCTCAGTGATGTAAATGTCCTGGGAACCCCAGCACCCTGGGAGAGGCCCAGAAAATGGACCAACCGCTGTGGGCAGGAGGTCAAGCATGTAGGGAAAGACTCCTTGCAGTTTCCTTCTTTCTTCCCTTCCTCCCTCCCTCCTTTCCTCTGTCCCTTGCTTCCTTCCTTCCTTTTTTCCGCCCTTCCTGCCACCGTGCTTGTCCTGGGCAGAGCACTGACAGGTCTGTCCACATCTCGCAGCCACAGTGGCCACTGAAACAAGGACAACTCCTTTTCGAAAAGAGACAACCAAGTTTTGTTTTCTCTTTTGCTGCCGGTAAAAGAGATGGTTCTTTTGCCGTCCTTTGTGCATTACACGAGTGACTTTGTATGTTGATTTGTGTCCTGCAATATCACTGCATTTATTCTAACAGCTTTTGATCCCGTCTGAAAAGTGACAACTTCTCTTCTGCAGTTTTCTATCTGGATGACTTTAATTTCTTTTTCTTGCTTCATTGCTCGGACTTGCATTTCCAGCACCAGTGCATTTCCAGCACCAGTGCATTTCCAGCACTCAGTGCATTTCCAGCACTGAGTAGCAGTGTTGACGGTGAGTATCCTTGTTTTGTTTCTCACTTTAAAGGCTTTCAGCTTTTCACCGGGTGACGACAGCTGTGGGCTTATGACAATGACCTTTGTTGTGTTGACTTACATTCCATACTACTCGATTTGCTTAGAGCATTTAGCATAAAAAGATGCATAACGTGAGCGCGAGTTCCTTCTGCAGTCAGGTGACATGACCCTGAGGTGTGTACGTCTTAATTCTGTTAATGCGTGGCATCGCGTTTCCGCCTTAAATGTATTCAGACATGGCTGGCATCACAGGGAGAAACTCCACACTATCATGCAAATGGTCCTGACAATATACTGCCGAGTTTAGCTTGTGAGTATTGGGTTTAGAATTGATATGGTTGTGAGAGATGTTGGCTTATAATTTCCCTGTACACGCTGGTCGGGCTTTGGTACCAGGGTATAGTGTGCCTCTAAAAGACATTGGGAAATACTTTCTTCTCCCCAGTTTTGAGAAGGTGTGGAAAGTGCTTGATCTAGCATACACAATAAACACTTAGGCGTTTTCCCTGCTGACATGCTGTGGCTGTGTTCTTAGGATTTAACGGATCTGTCGTGAGGAAACATCACGAATGTGGAAACACTGCGAGGAGAGGGTGACACCTGTAGCACGAGAGGACTGGAAGCTGAATTCTAAAAGCCAGGCAAGAAAGCGCAGGAGAGAGTCAGACAGACGCCACCTGGGCACCTCCCCGATGAGGCGTCATCACAGAACATCACGGGCGAATAGCAGGAAGCTCCACATAACTGGCTTCAGTGCAGGATTTCCAACCACCTCAAGCTGTACAGATATCTCATGGCTGTGGTGTAGATGGGGGGATGGAGAGATGGACAGATAGATTCTCAAATTTAATAGCAGAAAATGAAATACATTCAACGATCTCAACTGACCTGACCTCAAGGAACCCACAGACTATTGACCTATAGTGAAAAAATCACAGAAAAGACTAAAACACAATGCATAACCAACCTATCTATATTAATTTGAGTAAAAACACTGAGAAATACAAGAAGCTTAGAGAAGTTAAAGATATGCGAAAAAGAGAAAGGCACTGGATGTGCAAATCAAATTAGTGACAACGGGGCCTTGAGGAGCAGAGCAGCGAGGCGCCCCACCCTGTTCCCAGGCCGGTCAGAGTGGAGCTGGAAGTGAGTTCTCCGTCTCTGGAGCTCACAGCCCAGACTTCCCCGAGTGCTGAGTCTGCCTGGCCCTGAGAGCTCGGGCAGTCAGTGGTTCCTGAGATTCATGATGAAATCTTCCTGTTCCTGAGTGTGCTGCTGTCCCGCCGCTGTCGGGGCTCCAGAAGGCAGGACAGGTTGTAGCTGAGGACAGAGAGGAACCTGTGAGCCCACGGAGAGCCTCACCTCAAGTCTCCCTACCAGGGCCTGCCCAGCAGCCCGAGTCCCGGTGCCCCAGCAGTCACCATGCTGCAGGGTGTGTGGACGACGATGGAGCTGTGGCCACGGGCTCTCTGCAGCTGTGAGCCAGGGACAGCCTCCCCACCCCTGGGCTTTCACACGAGTCCTGCCTGGTGCTCACCTTTCGTTCTCACTGAGCCACTCCCTCGAGTGGAACCAGACCTCAACCTTCTCCTCACGCTGAAAATTATATTTACTCGCTGCCACCTGGAACAGCTGTATCTCCTGGAGAACTTTGGCTTCCTGGGGCAAGAGGAACAGACGGGGTACTGAGAGGGCTTGCACCGGAAATGAGGTGAGGGCTGTGATCAAGGCAGGAAGAGTCCAGGGCTGGTCTACAGGGTGATTTTCTTAATTGTCCCTGATCTTCTCAATCCCGCCGGATCTCTAAACTGCTCTCAGAGTTGGGTGCAGACAACCCCATGTCCAGCTGGCTGTACATGTGTCCAGTCTCCTAAGCACACACCTCACTGGGATGGTTTTCATCTTTCTGTGTGTACAAAACCCTCCCAATGGAGCAAAGATGCAGAGGGTGAAGCCAGGGAACGTCCTGCCAGGAGGAATTCTGCCTTCCTGCCCTCGTGGAGCTGCGGGACACAGCTGCTTACCTTTGTAATTTTCTCACAGTTGACGAGATTCCCCTGCAAGGCAGATGGCAAGAGTGCGTGAGAAAGACCGAACCGTGACTAGCCAGCCCTTCCCCACCCTTGGATATGGTGGAATCATGGCAGGGCCCACGAGCATCGGGAGTGCACAGAGGAGGACGAGGTCCCCAGTCAGGTTTGGGCGCTGGAGAGGACGCCAATGGGAGCTGAGGCTCCCATCAAGTGCCCGTTGATGTCAGACCGGAAATTGTGGCCTCGCAGAGGAAGGGAGTACTGGCCCTGTAGGTGCTTCCTGGCCTTGGGGTCTCCACTTGTCTCTCCTCCCTTGGCCACCATCTGAAGGAGAGGCTGAGTCCAGCTCAGCAAGGCCCTGTGCAGCTTTGCAGGAAGGCAGCTCTGCCGCTTCAGGACTTGGAAAAGAGGGATTTGGGGGCACTGCAGGGTCCTTCATTCCCAGGCAAGATGGACCTGAAGGCTCCAGCACACAGGGCAGTTGTGAGGATCTCATAAGAGTAGGTTTGCTGAGTGCCAGCGCCTACGGGTTCAGCACAAGGGCCTTCCCTTCCAAGCCCCAGGATCCTGTCCCCAAACTGCTTCCCCGAGGGCCACTCACGTCCACGTGGTCCTTCATGGCAGTGTCCAGCATCACCAGCTCAGTGAGGAATGTGCCAAGGAAGGGGATGGTGCCCTGTGCCATGGGTGGTGCAGATGATGAGTCCCCAGCCCAGCTCCCGGTCAGGCCCCCTGACATTTCACACAGGTGTCTCCTGTCCCCCTCTGGGACACCAAACTAAGCCCTTCCAATTCTCTCACTCCTGCCTTCCTGCCTGGCTTCCTAGGACACCAAACACC